GATCCTACCTTCCTGGCAGAGCAGGGAGCTGTGCGCCTTCTCCTCCGGGATCCCCCCCGGCTGTGGGGAAGGAGCATCAGACAGAAGGTCAGGAGAAGGAACTGCGCACGTCACAGCCTGACAGGGCCTGCTGGGTCAGCCAGTGCCCCTAGCCAGGGCAGGATCATCCCCTACAGCCCGTGCTGTGGGGCTCGGGCACATCCAGCTCTCAGCGCCCCAGCGATGGGGCTCCCGTCCCTTCCGCGGGGAGACTGTTCCCAGCCCAGCAGATCTCGCGGCTTCTTCCTCTTCAGCACGGAGCTTCCCTCTGCTAGTTCCCTCCACCCCTTCGAGCTCTCCCATGTGTCACACTCAGCCACTCCCCTTGGGGCTAACCCCCGTCTCTGTCTGCCCCAGGACTCTCCCGCCATCTCGCTGGGACGGGGCCGTGTGACGGGGCAGTGCAGGTTGGGGTCCGGGACGTGGACGGTGCGGTGCTGGGACATTATTTTCTGTGGCAGGACAAAGAACAATCACAAGTGCAGACTCGGCCCATGGCCCCCAGGGGGTGAGACCCAGGCCCCGGATCTCCCTCCGCTCTGCCCAGAGGCCCCGACCAGACACTGACCTGGACCAGCAGGGGCTTTATCACGGTGTCCACTTGCCCCTGGGCCGGCACCACGGCCACCTCTGTGCCGCACAGCTCCTCGGTGCGCAGAGCCTCGGTGCTGACGGTGAAGTTCACCTCCCCTGCCGAGCAAGGCGGGAGACACCCCCGTTAGATAGCCCAATGCTCCTGCCTGAGGCAGAGAGGAGCCCATGTCTGAGGGGGCAGAATAGTGGAAGGAGAAGGGGGAGGGTAGTGAAGAAGGGAGAGCAAAGCAGAGGAAATGGAGAGCAAGAGAATGGGGTAGAAAAGAGAGAGAAGGAAAGGGGGGAAGGGAAGGACGGAGGGAAGTGATGAGTGGAGTGTAATGGGTTTCTCTGCCTTAGCCCTTGTGTGGGAACAGCGAATGGCCACCCAGAACCTGCCCCCTCCCTGCTGAAATCACTGACAGCTGCGTTCAGGGCGGGAATCTCAGAACGTGACATCGCAGCAGCGGCCAGCGGGAAGGCAGAGGGGTCCTGGCCTACAGGGCTCGGTAAGTCAGACTGCTGGAAGCGTGTGGGGAGAAACTTTGCTCGAATCTGATGTAGTTTGTTAAGGCAGGTAAGAACAGATTTAAAAATTTGATTAAAGTTAATGTTTAAATTAAATATACACGAGTTAAGAGGGAAGGTACTGTACATCTGGGTCAGACTTGGGTTATGAGGGATTACAGGTATCGGTTGCAAGGATGAAAAGATACATACATATCACATAACCAGCATAGACCCAGATTGGGGTGCAAGGGTTTTTAAAGTGTCAGTGTATAAGTGGGCTCGGGTACGCCACCCATGGAATGAATAAGGAGTCCAAGTCAGTATCGGTGTAGCGGATAAGTACATGGGTGGGGTGCGTCCCTGGATCCGTCAGGGAAGGAAGTGGGTTATTTCCCTGGTCGGCGGTCTCAGTTACTCAGTGTGGGATTGACGGTGTCCTGTGATGTGTTCCATACAAATGTCTCTGGACCACCTGATGGTGTCGGACACCATGAGCTGTCTCATGAGCCGGGCATAGCGTCGACTGACTCCGCATGCTCTCAGAACCGGCTCGTTGTGGGGGTCCCACGAGCCCAGGGCTCCCATGATCAGGGCGTGTATCTGGACTTCGAGCCCTGGGCTCTCAGAGTCTCAGCCAGCGGGGTGTACTTTGATGCCTTCCGTGCTCGGGCCTCGTTGAGGGCCGGTGACCGGTTTTCAAAAGGCACCGTGACGTCTATGATGAAGACCTTCTTCTTTTCTGCATCCGTCATGACGATGTTGGGTTGCAGTCAGCTGTCTGTCCCGGGGATGGCGGAGTCGAGGGTGATCTTCCCCAGGGACGGCGGGATGGCTTTCACCAGCCGGTTCTGGATGGTGTTGTGTCGGTGCCGCCAGACTCCGCAGTGCTGTTTGGATCCACACAGGACGTGGGGCAGGGTCTCGTTTGCGTAGCCACATTTCCTGCAGCGCTTGTCCCGGTTGCCGTGGCGGATGGCTCCCTTGAGGGGGACGCAGTTGAGTCAGGCCTTGTGGACGAACGGCCAGTTGGCGAACCTGGTGAAGCTGCCCCGGGGAGGAAGTGGTTGCTGGCGTCCCACTTGCTGGACACCTCGAACACCTTGCCCTGGTCTGGCTTCCGCTTGAGATTCTCGGCATAATGGTAGCGGATGGTGTCCTTCAGGGTCCTTTCCAGCATAGCTCTGGCGGTCGGGGTGACGATGGTGTGGTCCGGGGTCTTTAAGCATGGCACCAGTATTCCCAGCTCCCGGCGCCCCTCGCACCACTTCCAGCAGCAGCCGATCCTCTTACCCAGGAGTAAACGTCTTCTCCTTATTTTTCTTGTAACCATTTCTGACTGTTATGCCCCATTCCTTGTACACACTTAAAATCTCTCTCTTTGGGCTTGTCTATACTTACCGCGCTGGTTCGGCGGCAGGCAATCGAACTTCTGGGTTCGATTTATCGCGTCTAGTCTGGACGCGATAAATCGAACTCAGAAGTGCTCCCCGTCGACTCCGGTAATCCTGCTCGCCGAGAGGAGTACGT